ATTCCCAAGTATTTAATCTTGTGATTAGCTATTGTGAAAGGTATTGTTTCTCTTAGTTCTGGCTCTGTATTCTTTTTGTCACGGTAGAGAAAGCCAGCTGATTTTTGTGTGTTGATCTTGTATCCTGCTACTTTGCTGAATTGGTCAACTACGTCCAATAGTTTTCCAATGCTTTCTAATTCATTCTACTTTGCATCTGGGGTACATGCTCCCCCTCCAGGGTTCTTAGAGGCCCTACTGTGTACGTGACTCTTGTCCAGAGATGTTTTTACAAGAAGCAGCCCCTATGGGAAACACTTCAACAGCATACCTGTGCAAACATCAGACACCCATCTTTAGATAACTTTACCATAATATATCCGCTTAAAACTGCTAGTCAAAGTCATTAACCCTTTCCTTAACACATTATGGCACTACATGAAAATGACAATTGCTCTCTCCTAAAGGAGCTCAGGTGGCCTAGTGGCAAGAAGCTGCTCTGCAATCCCAGAGGAGTACGTTTCAAATCCACCAGATGCTCTGCTGGAGAAGGAGGGACAATCTGCTCCTGTAGCACTCAGATCCGATTTGATGGTACACACACAAAAAAAGAATAATAATAACAATAAAAATTACTCTTCCCTTGCTTTCACTGAGGAAAACTGGTCTACAATGTTTTAAAATAATTTTTTGCCCAGTTTCTTCTCTTTCTGCATTTAGTAAAGTAGTACTGAATATGCACCCCTGAGCAGTTCTGAACCCTGGGACAAGGGAGTCTTATATTCAAGCCATTTCCCAAAGGAGTGACATACTTTGGACAGAGGCCACATCTGTGACCACCAGTACACACTCATCCCAGGATGGGCCCACTGTCCAGCCAAGCCAGAAGCTGTCCCAGGTAGTAGAAGGAGCAAAGCATTTCAGAATCAGATGTAGTGAGGTGGAGTGGAGCACTGAAAGGAGAGGGAAGGGCCAGGTGGGCTGTGAGGTCACCCTGAAGCTGAGTCACCTCAGAGAGGAAAGCAGGGCATATGATAGAAGCCTCTAAAGGAGTGGGGAGTGAAATGCCATCAGGCTGGATGCCCGGGGATGATTTTCCCAAATCTCCTCAGCTCATTGGAGACAACCACACTAAATCTAATGCCCACACACAGACCCAGGCTAGATACTAAGCCGTAAGTTTCTGTGGCCGCCCAACTACTGACTCCCACCTTTTTGGAGGTAATGGAGAGACAAGACTACACACGTGAGCACTCAGAGAAAAGGGGGAAATCTCACCATCTGCCTTGACCATGGAAGATCTCAAATGTGAAAGCATTCATTTTAACCAGTGACATCAACGGGTTTTGTGTTATTCAATGCAGTTACTAACATAACTCCTCCTGTGCCAGGCCCTACAGTATTCTCAGTAATGCTCATTGCCCGTTAAAATAATACAACTATAAATTGTTCAAAGGTAGTATTTCTTGTTGCTGTGGTGGTGGTAGTTATGTGCCGTCGAGTTGCTTGTAACTCATAGCAACTTTATGTACAACAGCCCTAAACTCTGTTCTGTACTATGCCAATCTCACTGTCTCTGACACTCCCATCCCGATTACCCCAGTCACTGAATCAATCCACCTCATAGAGGGCCTTCCCCTCCTGTGCTGTCCTTCCAACCTCCCAAGCATGATGTCCTCCTCCAAAGACCGATTTCTCCTTACAACATGCCCAAAGTATGTTAGACGGAGCCTCAGAATTCTTGCCTCGAAGGAGTAGCCTGGTTTAACCCTTTCCAGGATGAATCTGTTTTCCTAGCAGTCCATGGTACTCTCAATACTCTTCTCCAGCACCACAGCTCAAAGGCATCAATTCTCCTTCTATCCTCCTTGGTCATTGTCCAACTCTCTGATGCATAACAAGTGATTGCAAAGGCCATGGCCTGTATCAGACACACCTTAGTCTCCATAGAGACACCATTGCTCTTCAGTACTTTGGAGAGGTCCCTAACAGCAGACTTTCCCATGGCAATGCACCTTTTAATTTCCTGACTACTGGTGCCAAGAGTGTTGACTGTGGAGTCAAGCAAACTGAAGCTGTGAATAATCTCAATCTCTTCTCCATCCATCCTGATGCTGCCAATTGGTCCAGTGGTGAGAATCTTTGTCTTCTTGACATTGAGCCTCAGTCCATATTGGAGGCTGCAGTCCTTGACCCTCTGCAGCAGGCGCTTCAGGTCCTCTTCAGTTTCAGCAAGCAAGGTTGCGTCATCTGCATAACGCAGATTGTTGATAGATTGTCCACCAATCTTGACCCCACATTTCTCCTCATAGAGCCCAGCCTCCCAGATAACCTGTTCTGCATACAGGTTGAAAAGGTATGGAGATAGG